ACCCCTTGTGATAGCCTTTCGTACGACACTGTGGACCGAGATTTTCTATACGCGGCATTACGAAGCTTTCAGTTTGACGAAGTGTTTATTACGCTCGTCACCCGGATGCATACCGGGACAACCGCTCGGTTTCTGGTGAATGGGGAACTTTCTGAACCAGTTCCTGTCCGGTCCGGAATACGTCAGGGGTGTCCTCTCGCACCGCTTTTATTTCTACTTGTGGTGGAATTACTTGGGCTGGCTATTCACCAGGCGCCCTCCATCCGGGGTATTCCGGTGCCCGGGGCCTGCGAGGTGGTGCATACATTCTCCGCGTTTGTGGACGACTCCACCATATTCCTTGAGCATGCCAATCAGTTGGCGCCTGCGTTGGAGCTCGTCTCTAGATTTGGACAACTCTCGGGCCTTCATGTCCAGCCTGCCAAGAGCAAATTGATTTTTTTAAACACGGCTATCAGGCTACACCAGTATGGTGGCATCTCAGTCTTACAACACAGAGAGACAACGCGATACCTGGGGTACGAAGTGGGGACAGGGGCATTATTCGATCGAAACTGGGCGCTTCGGCTTCAGAAAATCCGTCGGCGGCTTCTCACTGCAGCGAAAGTAGCGACTAGTGTGCAAAATCGTGTCCTCATTCTCAACGCGATCATTTTACCGGCTATCCTGTTCACCGCGGCCGTCTTCGATGTGCCGAGCTGGGCGAGAACGGAGATATCTCGGCTGTACCGCCAATTCCTGTGGGCGCACGCTTCTGTGCCTGCCGTACGTCGGCACAAAATTAACCCGGGTCTCCTCTTTACGCCCCAGAAGGCAGGCGGGGTTGGTCTGGCCTCGTTCGAAGTAGCCGTCAAAACTCAGCGGACGAAGCACGCGTTGCGTTGGCTAACGCAGCCGCATGACAAATATTTTACAGCGTGGCGGCGCTGGACATATAGCGTGGGAGGTTCCACATCGGCTCTTGTCCCGGCGCTCCATCCGTCTGCTTCAACAACGTTTGACATCAGGCGAGGACCTGGTCGTTCCTCTCTGGCGCAGGATCTCGAACGGCTCCTAGCACCCTCCCCTGAACAAGTGCTGTCGATTCGGGCCAGATTGGACGCGCATCACGCTCGTATGTATGTCGGGGCGAGCAGTCAGTGGAACGGTGACGAATGGTTAATTTCATACCATCAAACGTTTCCTGACCATCCCGCTGTTGCTGATCACCGGATGGATACATTAGCCGCTTTCTGGGGCCGCTTTCACTGGGATGGCAATCCTTGGATTCAAGGGCCAGACGGCAAGCCCCTAGAGCGGGCCAAATATGCCCGGATACCTCCATGTTCACTGCGCAGTCTGTGCATTCGGCGACTGGGGTCACATGAATTTCAATTTACGTTCCCGTCTCTCGGCGGTACTCCGTCTCGGCATATGCATTGTAAATTACAACGTTGGGCGACTTCGATCCTGCTCTCGTCACCCCCACCTTGCTGTCGGTGCGGGACCGGTAGAGCCCGGGCTCGTCTTACGTCATCCACCGCCGTTTCGGCGCGCTTATAAATGGTCCCGGGTACGAGCTGATTTAATTGTCGGGTCATGTCGGGATCCTGTCGAGTCCGCGACCTCGACGATTCGCCTCCGCCAAGATGTCAATGGAATCCATTGGTCGATTGACGGGAATTTACCAGAATTACGGGGGTCGCCTCAGCAAGTGTCTAACTACTGGGAGCATTCGTACCATCGTACCTTGGTGTTTCATGCCCACCCGGAGCTTCACCGTTTCCCTTGGAGTGTGCCAGAGACGGTGGCCAATGTAGATGTGTGGACAACGCTTATGAAGCAAGCGTTTCACGTTCATAAACGCCTTCTGCACCCTGGCCTCCAGTCCTGGTTGAAGGCCTATGACGCGCAGGCGGTATCGAATAGTTGGCAGTCAGCTGCATCAAATCAAACGCCTTCCCAAGTTTGGAAACACGCAAACGGGCTAACGGAGTATCAAGTCTGGACATGCTATCGTATCGCGACAAAGCAGCTAAATCTATACCATGCCGGTCGCACGCTGGACAACAGTTGTCGTACGGTGCTGCACTGCCGGGGACGCAAAGAGACAGCGGCGCACATTTTCTGGGAGTGCCCAATCGCGCAAGCGTGTTGGTGTCACTTGATAGGACACTGGACCGGTGGGGGTGCGACGAACGCAGTTCTTTCCACCTTCTTTCAGCACTGCGCCAATCGCAAAGCCCCGCCCATTCCACGTCAGCTGAGTTTGCGGTTGCAAAGCCGTTTTCAAGATGACTCTGACGCCGCAGCAACAGAATTCGAACGGATCTGGTTCATATTAAGCTCCATCTGCCAAGAACATTTGTGGACCGAGCGGAACTCGGCGGTCTTTCGAGGAGCCGTGACTACTCCATCCGCAAGTGTCCAAATGTACTGGACACGCGGTGTTCGCCAGCTACGGGCAATTGCAATACGCGAGCATCGAGCCGCGGCTACGGCCGTACGAGGGGCCCGACTTCATGCCTGTCTTGAACTTCTGCTTCAAGAGCCCCGTGGACACCCGCCCTACGCGGGTGTCAGCCACGATCCGCTGCCGCGACCGGCGCTCATATCCTGGCTCAGGATTTTTCAGACCTCTTGTCCACATTAAATATGTCAATAGATGATCATGAAACTCCTCCCCCCCCCCCCCTTGTGATAGCCTTTCCACCCGGACGTAATGTGCTGAGATTCTATCAGAATTCCCAAAATTTCACACTTGTGGTCAAGCCAGTCCTTCCTTAACCCTTTTCGCGGACAGGCCCTTCAGCGAAATCCATTCTTTATAAAGCCAAACGAGGTGCGGGTGTGCCTCGTGTGTGCTGCGCTCGGAGCCGGTGGTTGCGTGTGCAGCCGGCGGCCAGAAACGGGTACTTCGACCGGATGCGTCCCCAGCGCCACGCGTCACCGCTTTGTCTCAAGTGGCCGCAAACGAGTCGCCAACTATGGCTGGGCGTCCTGATTCGTCGCTCTGCACTTCTCCGCTGCGTAAGACACCAGTGCACAAAATCCTTTCCGATGCCAAACGCATTGGCTCCCGAACGCAATCGATCTCATACACGCCAGTCATCTAAGCACAGATAAACATGATGACATGCGCACAGGGGTGTTTAAGACTCTCTCATACACCCTCGAACTGGGGGCCGGATTTCGGGCAATCGATTACGGGCAACTGATTACGGACGTCTGACTACTTGCGTCTAATTATGAATTTCTGATTGCGGGCGTTTGGCTACGAGCAACCGATGACGGGCAACCGATGACGGGTAACCGATGGGGGAATCGTAAAAAACATAGGTGTTCGCCTAAAAAACAGTGTTACGGTTAGGCTATCCATTAACCTTTTTTAAAATATACCAAAAAGGGTAAAGAAAATACCACTTTCGATTGAACTTCGTTAGAAACGTTTCCTCAACACGTATGTTTTATGATCACCACTTCGGTCATCTACCGTGACACGAACTTTCTCCTACTGTGTTCTTTAGTGGGCTGGCTCGATACTCCAGACGCCACGAGGACACTCCCGAAAGGCCACGTGAGAATGACCGTTGACCAAGTCCGGGGTAAGAATTGTGTGCGCGCTCATGACCGGATGGCTGAGCTCCGCCCGCGCTTCAATCTGCTTCAGGACAGAGGACGCATGGCTAGGGGGCCGTTCCACTTACATAATCCTAGCGTGCCATTTGGACCATGCCTGGCCACTTCCGTCGTGGTCGACTTGCTCTGTTCTTTCGGCCGATCCTAGTGCACAATCTAGTGCGGACGCGCCCAAGAGCACCGCAATAAAGAGTGTCTTGGCTTGGTTCTCGCTCACCTCGCATAAGCGACCGGTACTGGAGCTCAACAGGATCCCCACGTTCTTAGAGAAATTCACTTCGGAGGAGTGAGGTCGTGCGCGTCAAACGGGTCGGCGCGAGAAGAGGCAGGTCGTAAAGAGTAGGAACTAACGTAGGCAAAGGGGTGTCGATATCTGTCGGCGCATCCCCTTGCCGCGTGATATCGGCTGGTCGCTTCCATTCAAGTCGCACTCTTCGTCGCCTCTTGCAGCACGCGCAGCTGAGATAAGACCTTCCCTCCGTAAACCATGGCACGCTTAGGGGGACGTCCAGTCGAAGGGAAGGGGACCAGAGTACTGTCTGGCTCTTAGGAGGTCTTCGTCTGTTCGTCGTTGCCCGAAGAGGATATATCGGGAAGTATGCAGGTCGATCAAAAAGTATCTGACCTCGTGGTGGTCCGGCTGTATTCGTGCGAAAGCAGACAGCAGAGGTCATCACGATGATGCTGTCATCCTTTTTTTGCTTACCTCAACTTTTTTGGTTGTCTGGCTATCACCTAATGATTGCGGACGTTCCACATGCTACTTTCGTTTATGTCACTGCAATTCGGACCACAATCCCTCGACGCTTGCTGATTTATTCATGCATGGCGTAAATAAATCAGGATTCTTAGCCAACCATAAAAACTACCCGTTCGTATATCTATCCGGTTTCTTATCCACCCATCAAGTGTCTACTGCCTTATCTTTTTCACGATAATCAGCCACCAATCAAGGGTCACTATCGCATATTTGTCACGATAATGAGCCACTCTTTATGAGTATCCTGTCTAGCACATCTTATCTGTACTCTGGAACTTGGCGGTGAGAGTTCCCATATTCCCGCAGCTCCCGGTATCTGTAGACACACTGGCTGAAAAGGTTGAAGTAGCGTGCGATCTGGACCGCATTAGAACTGCACGGCACGAACTGCGCCGTTACTGCCCGTGCAGACTCAAGTCCGACGACGTACAAAGCTTTGATCCTAGACATAACGGGCTGTACACAGGCTTCTTTGTTTCGGACACAGTACCTCGAGTCATCCACGAAATCTCGTATTGAGACCTACAGCTTATGCTTCATTTCCAATTTTGCGCTGATCGCCTCAGTAACGCACTGCTTCGATCTCCGCCTTCGTCTCTCATCTATAATCTGCTTTGTCCAAATGATGAAGTCATTTCTGCTACTTGTGCTTGTGCTGACCATGTCTGCTGTCTACAACGCTGATGCTGGACCTGCTGCTGGAAAGAAGACGACGTTGGACCTGACCTCAGCGGTGCATCATGACCGGAACAGCAAAACTATGCTGCGTGGAACCGACGGCTTTAACGAAGCCAGTCAAGAAGAGAGGGGTTTGGTAAAGAAGATTTACAAAGGCGTCAAGAAAACAGCGAAAGCGGTGGGAAAGGGGGTCGTGAAGACTGCGGTGATAATCAAGGACAAGGCCGAGGATGTTAAGGAGGTATTGGCGGAAAATATAAGGTTAGGCAACCTGCAGATAGCTGAAGAGTATGATAAACGCAGCGGTAAAATCATTTGGGTTTAGGTACCCAAACCTAGTTGATGGATTTTGATGTCCACTTTTCCTGATCAATTCAACAATCTTGCGTTAGTGGTTTTTGATATTTGCACTATGTACTTAAGTGTCCCCGATAGATGAAGTAGTACAAATCCATATGATTTGGTAGCCAATCAGTAATATATGGACGGTAGAAATAGTTGTGAAGTAGAGATAATAGAAACGCTAGATGAAAAGTCGCAATGAGATACATTGAGAAAGCAAATGGACATTGAGTGAAGAACATCAAAGAGCTCATTGGTTTGTAGCAACGTAACGTTTATATGCATCCATCCGTGTCACTTGTTTGCTGCCTTTTTTATACGCGTACGATAAGAGCTATCAAAGCGTTTCTTTTTTATGGTATAGTATGAGCGCATAAAGTTCTGCTGGCTCACCGAGGTAAAAGAACAGACCCGATCTAATTTAGCAATATCAACTATCCAGTAAGCCACATCGTAGCTTACGAATGATATGGTGTTTTAAACATGCAACCTCAATCTAGCGACCGTACTGGAAATAATTTAGGGTGAAGTTTATTACCCTCTCCCTCTGACATTTCATATGTACAGCAGTCATCGTCACGCCCATCAAACGAGAAAATTCCATTTCTCGAACCCAGCATTGTTGAATGACATTGTGTTTGCGGGGTGGGGTCTTTTGTGGAATCTCGGATCCGCAGTCAATGTATATGTGAATATAACCGTTCAAGGAGAGCTAGAATATCTGATGTTGACACACTACTACACTATTATTACGACCCCTTGCATCACATTGCAGTCGCTGAGATGCACGAGCAATGTTTGTTCGACAGTTATTCGAGATTAGCATCTGCTCTATATTATTACCTGACAAGGGTCAGTAAATGGTATATAAGGCTATAACAACACTCATTTTATCATCAACATGACTGTAATGCAATTTCGACCGTTCTCTGCGCAACGGTTCACGGCTAAGTATATGTAAGCTCTGGCCAGTCATGCATTTACGTTGGTGTCAGTGTAAGTGCATCTCATCCTATTTCATTGTGCCATGTCAATTTAGACCTCTTACGTCTTTATCATCCTTGCATATCATAATGTTGACTTCAAAGTCATCAGATCGCGGTACAATCTCGCGAACCGATATCGGGAAAATTCAGCATCACTTGATAATAGCGGATGTAGCATTTTCTGGTACAACACGCTCCCTACTAAGTACATTTATTTATGTAAGTTCTATCTTGTTAAGATTAATGTTGTACTATAGAGAAGACACTACAATAGATGATACAGTAGATACGAAGTTTTGGTTTTTGTGTTGGCCACAACATTGCCGCTTACGATTGAGTCATTACTGGTCGTTTGGACAAGCAGTGACATACCTCTCTGTAGCTTGCACAGTCAATTCATTGCATCTCTTTCTTTTATACATACGTCACTTTCGATATGTCGCTTGTTCTTGTGCATTCCAGATCAGTCATATGGTCCTGAACAGTTCTAATACCACAAGTGTTGGCAATCCATAGCACGCCATGAGAACTAGAGGCGTATCCATTCAGCACGACTTCTCGGCCGATAGATGCGTATCACATGCCTCAGTCATGTCTGGGAAGTGGGGATGACTTATTTTGTGCATTACGGCACTAATTGCTTACACGGATGACGGAGCTCGCAAAGTACACTGATAGTGTTAAAAACAAGTACTCTGTGACTCCACCATATTGATGTGCACGTGAAATTTGTGTAAGCAGTACCGTTACCAAATGCTTTGCACTGCCTCTAAACATCAGTAGAGGTAATACAAGACGAGTGAGTGATATTCTATGGCTATGCAAAATAGACAAATTTGACTAAATACAAATGTCTATGTGTATATTCCTTTAAACCTAGATAAAAAGAGTGAGTGACGGATTTTCCTGATTGGACTACCTTCTCGGCACTTTTTGCGCGCACCCGTCATTCATTGGATAGCGTATTGGCTAATATAATCGCCACGTCAGGCGAGGAGTCGAGTACTGTCAACATCTGCCGACCTATGATTTCGACATAAGATCGCCAACAACTCATTCTCCTCTACAACATTGACGAATGTGATTATGAAAACATTCACATCTTCGCATTGATCGAATTATAATGTCACGGTGGGTTCATACCGTTCTATCGCGCACACCCTTCTACCATCGTACGCTTTTGTCACCAAGATCTTTCGAATGCACCTTTTATCAAAGCCAACGTTGTGCTATTTGATGCATTAAAGCAACTGTAAATTAATTGGCACAACACTTAACCTCAGAGATCGAGCTAGACGCGGTTCCCCTGCATTTCATGATGCTTACCATAAAATTTAGTAATCAGAACTTCAGATGTGCATCGGATTCTGTACAAAATATCTAAAAGACATTTGATCAGACAACATCTTACGTAAGCGATCACCTCTTCGTACAGAAAATGTGGTTGGGTATGGTCCTTGTTAATAGTGTCTTCAGCGGTAAGACAAACGATTCACTACGTTAGAATCGTATACATGACTGAGGATGTGTCGAACGAAGCACTCCACGAATTTAGCAACCATTTGCTTCGACTGCACATTGTATTGGAGCTAATGTCACGGTGTATGGAGTGTTCTTTCGATCCGAATAGCGCTGCGTCTCAGGCCGGGTCTTCGTTGCAACTGATGACATGTGTCTCGAGTCTGAAGGCACACATCGCGAAGCTTGGATTGATCCAACGTGCACGTGCCATAGAACATCTACACAGGATACATACATTTATCTTTTCGTATTTGATAAGGCAGAGCCCTCTGACGTTCCCATTTGGCGTAAATAATGCAGTTCAAAGAGCGTGATCAAGTTGACCGATCTATGAACTCTTTTCGGTGGTTGCGGTCAGTTGATGGAAGATGACTCGTGCGTCTCAAGATATGAGCTCCGCAATATTGCCGCAATTTATAATTTTGCTTCAGCATGGCGTTAGAGCTTTTGACGTTAAAGAATACGGTAGACGAACATGACGACGAAGGCTGACCCTGAACATACAGCAAAAGCAGTACTGTGGCAAAGTCATTAATCAAATTTTATGACGTGGATCGGTGACTACCCAGTTAAGGCGTCACTTATTGGTGGAAAATGATGCGAAGGGGCTTAGCAATCCAATAAATAGATAGAAAGAGATCTCAACGGGAATCGGCGATCCGATTTAAATGTCTCCTGATTGATGGATATGGATCGACCTGAAGCAGAGCGATCTGGGACAAGACGACAAATAGAACGATTTCTATGGAGCGATCCGGGACAAGGATCTGGTACCAGGTGATGTGGTATGACTCTGTAACGAAGGTGTAGCATCCTGCAGATCGGTGACACTCTAATCGGTCTCCCAAAGGGAGTACTTATTTAGTTTAATTATAGCCCGATCTGGAAGTGTGGATACTCGCGGGAGTCCAGGGAACTGTTTCAAGACCTGTGGATGGTCTTGTTGATCCGATAAACCCGGGAGGATGATATTGGAGCACGTACGGTAAACACAAAGCTATTTACTGCTGAAATATACCGTACCGATCCTCAACAATATCTATTTGGACATCAGATCGGTCATGCTCCCTGCTGATTATGGATATATCGGTGATGTAGCTATTGGATCGTAATAAACATGCTTGTTGAAGGTCCAAGAATGATGTCCTAAAAGTTCAGATAGAAAGAGCCAGTGGAAGCCGGTTGACTTGACGTCGCAAAATGGATTTAGACACATTCGGCATTTGGGTACTATTCTGGACTTTTCGGTACCAAAATTGGGTATTAGGTACCGCATTTGGAATTTGGTCCCTTTTGGGTGTCTAGGTACGATATCGGGAGTATCGGCGCTATCTTTGGAGTACAGGTCACGAAATTTCGACACGTATTCAAGAAGGCGGTCAAGCTTAAAGGTGATATCGACTTGGAGAGTGATTTACAGTTGGGAATAGGCTTAAGGATCGGTTGGCTGATAATTTGGCTGGAGAATAAAAAAGTTACCGTTTTTATATGTAAACCACGTCGCAGACTCCTCTTCAGGACAAGATATTTGGTCTACCGTCGATCAAGAGACTTCGACGCGCCGTGTTTCGTATACTCACCTTGTATCGTTTGGCCAAGGTGGGTTTAATTTAACTCAACTCAACTCAAACAGCTAGGGTAGCAGCAAACAACGGTAAAGGAAAATGCTTTTGGTTACAAGATCGCGAGGCGGCTTAAGTAATTAAAGAGATCTGGACAAGGCGTTCAAGACAAGACCGAGCAAGACTGGAGCGATCTACAGGTCGGATCGGCCCGTTTCATTCTGGCAAAACAGGACACCCATCGGCCCACATTGCGCACTTCCGGCAGGATCGGCCGATACCAAGACCAGATCAGACCGATTCCAACGCAAGATCGACGCAAGACTATCATTTACTGAGTGAAGATTTCCGCACAGCAAAGACCCCCCACCCCTAGGATAAATCTAGATCGGTTTGATTCAAGATCGAGATCGCGACGTTTCCAGATAGAGATCGCCGCGGCCCAAGATCAAGATCGCAGAACCCCTCTTCGTGGTGTGAAGATTTACGCACCGGAAGCGAACTCCCAACTCCAAACCATCAGCGAGATCGATATCTTTCAAGGCCGTTACGAAGAGCTCAAGACAGCCGGACCGACGGGTACACAAGGTGAGCACAAGGCTGTACAACATGGCACGGATCGTAGTACCCCCTCCGTGAGTCGGCAAGTCAGGGCTAGTGAAGGATCGACCCTCGCTAAAGCAATTTTGTGAGATCGACTTCACCACAGTTCTACCAAAGCGTGATCGGCAACATGGACCTGCTCAATGCGAAAGAAGACCGCAAGAAGATTCTTTTGACGCCTAACAAGGACAAAATGTGTACTATCTTATTTTCGCTTGTAAAGGACTGTGACAGATGTAATTATTCTGCATAATACGATGCCTTATCAAAGCTGCTCCACTCGTTGCGAGCAAAATGAGTAGATAAACATC